CCCCCCCCACCCCCACCCCAACACCTGGGGGCGGAAGGGAGGGGCCCAATAGGGGAAACATAGCAAATTCTTCAAAATCCTTCTTCTGTAGGAAAGACAGGATTTTGTCCAATTTTGGTATGAGGCACCCTTGGGTGAAGGGGAACCAATTTTGTATAAACGATGTGTCTGACCTCTCTGGAGGCAGAGAGGTGGGGCCCAATAGGGAAAATATAGGTAGAACTTTTAAAATCCTTCCTCTACCATAGGGATTAAGGGATTTTATCCTAATTTAGTCTGAAGCATCCTTGGGCTAAGGGGGCTCAATTTTGTATAAGCAGTGGATGTGGTATTCCAGGGGACAGAAGGGCGGGCCCAATAGGAGATATAGAGGTAAAACCTTTAAAATCCTTCTGCGACCATCGGGATTAAAGGATTTTATCCTAATTTTGTCTTGAGTATCCTTGGGTCAATTTTGTATAATTGGTGGGTATGACCCCCTAGGGGCATAGGGGTGGGGTTCTGTTTGAAGTTTGTTCTCGCTATATCTCAAGTACTGGATTGATCTTTCTGAAATTTCATATGTACTTACAGCACCTACCATGGAGTGCTATATCTTTACTTCATACCAATTATTTAAATATATTCAGGTGAGCGATACAGGCCTTCTGGGCCTCTTGTTTTCTGATATATACTACCAAAACAAAAAAGAATCAATACTTAAACTGTCATATAATGGAATTAGATGATAAAATTCATGATAGCATTTCTATTTACTAAAATTTAAGGAATGTTGTTTTAATTTTGTGGAATTTTTATATAAACTATATGGACAAATTTTAGAGGAGAAAATTTAATTTTAAATTATCAGCCATGAAATCGACATTTATTGTACATCTCGGCTTATATTATCGGAACAGGTTACTTTACAGTGTTACAGTATAAGCGTGCTGGGAAAAAGCGCTACCAAGTTTGTTCAAATGTATGACCTTCACTTATATTTAAGGTCACAGAGGTAAAACAAAGCTTCTTCTGAATAACCGAAGTGCATAGGGTTATGATACAGTATTTGGACAGTAGCATGCTCAGATGAAGAGCTATCAATTTCTTCATGTGACTGACCTTGATACACTTTCAAGGTTACATGGGTAAAATGGTCTAGGGTGGTATATTTTGGCAGGTTGATGCTGGGGTGAAGTTTTTTTCAACTTAATGTCATTGTTTGACTTTGAAGGTCATGGGTATCAAATGTATTTAAGGATTTTAACAGTTTCTTTTGAATGACTTAAGTGTCACAGATACTGATATTTTGCCTGTAACTTTATTAATGTCTGCTTACCAGGTGAGTGGTTCAGGCCAATTGGTTCTCTTGTGTCATTGTAGTACTTATATCATTTCTTCATAAATTTGTTGGAAAGCCTCTAATTGCACACTTTCTATCTTTACAGGAGTCATAATGACAACTTTCCTGGTTCTAGCCTTGCTGTTGGTATATGAAGTACAAGTGGTGTTGCCAGTCGACAGGAATGGATCTTCAGAACAAACCACCAGCAGTTGGCTTTATCAGTGGAGTACAGTTATATCAGCAGTGGCATTTGTCATAATGGGATGCTTCCTTAAACGTTTAACAGGTATTTTAGCTCACCTGGCACTAAGTGTCACAGGGTAAAACTATTTGGCTCATGTATACATTCTGGGATTAAGGGCAACTAAGTTTGTTCAAATGAATGACTTTGAATTACTTTCATGGTCAAAATTGATCAATTGTCTCTAAAACTTTCAAACCACTTCTTCTAACAGCCAGGAACCTGCTGGGATAAAGGGCTACCAAATGTCACAGGGGTCAAATGTGTTTTACACATTTAAACGACTTCTTCTGAATAACGAAAAGGCCTAGGATGATGATATTTGGCCATTTAAGCATGCAGAGATAAATTATTGCAACAAAATATTCTCACATGAATGACCTTGATATTTATTCCAGGTCAATGGGATCAGATATGATAAGAACATAAAACAATATCTTCTGAATAACCAAAATGGCTAGGATGATGGTATTTGGCAAGTAGCTTGCTGGGATGAAGGGCAAACAAGTTTGATCAAGTGAATGACCTTAACATATATTCAAGGTCATAGGGATAAAAAAAATGACAAGAACTTTAAATGAGTAATTCTGCATAACCAAAATAGCTAAGGTTATTATATTTAGCCAGTAACTTGCTGGGATAAAGAGTTACTAAGTTTGTTCAAATATATCATATTGCCAGTTCAATTCGTTGAAAAATGAGAAAGCTGAATTCTGCCTAGCTGAAACAAAACGACTGGACAGGACATAAATTATGCAATATACTTTGTTTAAGCTCACGAGACCCTTAATATATATCTTCAAATAACCGTATAACAATGTCTATGCTTCAAAAGCATGTTAAGGTCATTTTTAGGGCGGGGGGGGGGGGGCTTCACCCCTCTAAACCGCCCACCAGGGCCCCATTAGGGGCCTAGATGACACCTAAAGACTCCTCGCCCAGGCTTACACATACCTTTGGCTCTAGCTAAGCGCCTGTTAAGTAAGTGTAAAATGAATGGATCATATGTACTATCAAAATTATTCTAAAACATGTTAGTCTGTATGTGCATACCAAATTTCAGTGAAATTGACCTTTTTGTTGGGCAATTATTGCACAGAAACCAATTGGCCTATCACAAGGTTGTAACCTAGTTAAGTAATGTGTAAATATGCAAGAATTACTTCAAGCATGTTTTTATGATCGGCATTACAAATTTCATTGAAATCGACCCATTATTATAGGGCAATTATTGCACAGAAACCACAATCACATTTACTGTTGAACTCATCCTCAAACATGTTAATGTATTTGCACACAAATTTTCAGTGAAATCAATCCATGAATAGGGCAACTTCAGCCAATCAGAAGTTTGTTGCCTCATTGATTATAATTTAATAAACTAGAAATAGTTGGCTAACAACTTGACGGGCTTTTCACCGTTAGGACTGATATGGTCTTTGATCGCAAACATATTTTTTTGAATCCTCATTGTCTTTACCCTCTATGAAGAAAAAGATGGTTATTGAGAAGAAGTTGTATAAAGTTTTTAAGACATTTGACCCCTTTGACCTTGAAAGTAGGTCAAGGTCAACCATTTTCACAAACTTGATAGCCAATCACCTGAGCACCTTATACAATGTATATGAAATATCAAGACCCAAGACTTGTTAGAGCTTAAGAAGATATTTTAAATTTGTTACCCAAAATAGTAGTTTTGAAAGTTGACCCCTAACGAAAACCTGAAGTTGACTTTTGATACATTTTTTTTATTGCAAACAATAGCACCTTGGCCGAAGGACATTAGCGAGTTTATGCCATACTGAAGCGTCTGTCGTCCGTCCGTCCGTCAACTTTTCCTTTAAAACGCTACTAGTCCTGAACGGCCCAGTAGACTTTGACTAAATTTGGTCTGGAGCATCCCTAGACCAAGGGAACTCAATTTTGTATAAACGGCGGGTGTGGCCCCATGGGGGCAGAGGTTCAACCCAAATAATGGGAATAGGGGTAAAACCTTTTCCTATCGTAGGGATCAAGGGATTTTATCCTAATGTAGTCTGGAGCATCCTCGGGCCAAGGGGACTCAATTTTGTATAACTGGTGGGTGTGGCAACCCTGGGGGCAGAGGGGCGGGGCCTAATGGGGGAAATATAGGTAAAACTATTAAAGTCCTTCATCTACCATAGGGATTAAGGGATTTTATCCTAAATTGGTCTGGAGCATCCTACGGCAAGTGGACACAATTTTGTATAAATGGTGAGTGTGGCCCCCCTGGGGGCAGAGGGACAGGACCAAATAATGGAAATAGAGGTAAAACCTTTAAAATCCTTCTTCTATCGTAGTCTTGAACATCCTTGGGCCAAGGGGACTCAATTTTGTATAAACAGTGGGTGTGACCCCCTTGGGAGCAGAGGGGATGGGCTGAATATGGGAAATAGAGATTTAACATTTAAAAGTCTTCTCCTACCATAGGGATGAAGGGATTTCATCCCAATTTGGTCTGGAGCATCCTTGGGCAAAAGGTACTCAATTTTATATAAAAAGTGAGTGTGGCCCCCCTGAGGGCAGAGGAGCAGGGCCCAATAGGGAAAATAGAGCAAATTCTTCAAAATCCTACTTCTACAAATAATATGTTGCATGACTGCTGTACAATCAATAGTTTTTGAGTTATGGCTATTTTAAGATTTTGACCTATGACGTCATGGCGGCCATATTGGATTTTTGACCTGTTTGAAAATGTTGCAATGACACCTTTTGACCTTGGCCTATAATGTACTTATAAGACTGTTAACACATCTGCTACCAATCAAAAGATTAGGTGGCCACAAAATCAGGGAAGAAGAAGAAGAAACATAACAATTCCAATAGGTCTTTTCACCAGTTGGTGAAAAGCCCTAATGATGTGTAAATTTGCAGGTTCACATTCACAAACAAATTCCTCCTCGCACATGTTTCTATGTATATGTACATACCAAATGTGTTTATCTTCTTCTATTCCATTCAGTCAAAAAATCCTAAGTCAACTTAATTTGAAATTTAAAAATAAATGTATTTTGAAATTGCATTTTTATAGAGACTCATTGAGAAATAAATCATGCTTCTACCAATACTGAAAAAAAACCATAAACCATTAAAAAAACAATTTAAATATCAAACATGATTATACAGTTTAAAAGCAGGTAATATGTACTATTAGGTACAGTCACATTGATCTTGAATTTTAATCACACAGAATTAAAGAAATTGCTCATTTTAATTTAAATTTCAACTTTCAGATGTTCCTACAGTCGAAATAAAGAAAAACTATACTGTTGTAGCGGGAGAAAAAGTGAAATTGAAGTGTTGTGCATCTGCATTTCCATGCATTAAGTCAGTTTCCTGGAAACACATTTTGCCGGAAGGGGAAACCAAACAACTTGATATAGACCAGCAAAAGTATACCAGTACAAAACCAAACCACATAGTAATCAACCAAACTCTGAAAAGTGACGAAGGCGAATATGTGTGTATTGTCTCCAATTGGTTTGGGAAAACACAGAGTAAACACACTAAGCTGACAGTGGAAGGAGGTAACAGCTTTCATTTGAAATTCAATTGTAATACAGTAAAACCTATATAATTAAAGAAACACCCTAGTTCAGTTCAATCAGTTGTAAATGGTACATGCCTCTTGGTAAAATATCCTGCATTAGTAATGCCGAACTCCGAGTTCCATAATCTAAGGTGGTCACTATCTGTTGCTTTCGATAAGCACAGACATATGTCACGACGATTATTGGGGGCAGGGGTGAACTTGATGTCGGGTGGGCAGTCAGGATGAGGCTATACAGTTCTTGGTTTTGGAAATTAGCTTTGATATAATATTAGCCACACCCTGACGAGCACTCTTCCTGGTTGTACTATAGTGAGTATTTGGTGTCTGCACTTTTAAGTCCAGTCCAGATTATCTTCTTATGTAGGTTTATTCGCATACATAAAAGTCAGTTAGCTACAAAGTCGGTACCATCCTATCTTGGTGCTGGCCTATTACTTAAAAATACAGATGTTAAATCCATATTATTGGTCCACTGTGTATATAAGTCCAGCACCTCCACTCTCGCTCATGTCCGTGTCTCGACTCTCTTCCCTCTCTCTTACACTCCCCATAGCTACATACAGTGTACTTACAAAATAGATAAAAATTATATACTCCATTTTGAAAAGTTAATACAGAAGGAATGATATTCTAACTTAAAATAATATTGGCTAGTTTCTGAATTATGGGGTAGAATAAATTATAAACATAGGTTAATTTCTGTTTAGATAGATTACATAATATAGTTCCTGACACCATATGCTTAAGGGGTATAATACCTGGTATATAATTAGCTCACCTGGTCCGTAGGACCATGACGAGCTTATGCCATACCGCAGCGTCTGTCGTCCGTCCGTCGTCCGTCCGTTGTCTAACTGTCCATCAACTTTTCCTTTAAAACGCTAATTGTCCAGGATGACTCTGTAGATTTTGACTAAATTGGGCAGGAACATCCTTAGGCCAAGTGCTCTCAATTTTGTATAAACAGTGGGTTCGGACCATGTTGAGCTTACGCCATACCGCAGCGTCCGTCACCGTTTGTCCATTGTCCAACTGTCCATCAACTTTTCCTTTAAAACGCTACTTGTCCTGTACGACTAAGTAGATTTAAAATCCTTTTTCTACTGTAGGGATAAAGGGATTTTATCCAAATTTAGTCTGGAGTATCCTTTGGCCAAGTGACTCAATTTTGTAAAAACGGTGGGTGTGTTCCCCTCCCCCCCCCCCATCCCCCGGGGGCAGAGAGGCGGGCCAGATAGGGGAAATATATGTAATAATGTTAAAATCCTTCTCCTACTTTAGGCATTAAGGAATTTTATCCCCATTTAGTCTGGAGCATCTTTGGGACAAGGGGACTTAATTTTGTATAAAGGGTGTTTGTAGGCCCCCCTTGGGGCAGAGGAGCGGGGCACAATTGGGAAAATAGCGATAAAACCTTTAAAATCCTTCTTTTACCTTAGGGATAAAGGGATGTTATCCTAATTTAGTCTGGAGCATTCTTGAGCGAATGGGACTCAATTTTGTATAAACAGTGGGTTTATAAAATAAATCCACGGGCCTCAAGCATCATTAAGGAGGCAGTATCAAATATAAATTCAATTAAAATGAGAGGAAAGAATCATATTGTACTTTTTAATCATTTTTGGTCACCTGGACCAAAGGACAGCTGGTGAGCATGTCATGGTGTGTCTTCCGTCAACTTTTCTTTTAACACTCTTCTGGTCCTTCTAGTCCTTCTGCATGCATACCTGAACGACTCATGTGGATTTTGACCAAATTTTGCCTGTAGGCAAAGCCCCTGCATAGGGGACTCAATTTTGTATAAACAGAGAGTGTCTGCCCCCCCCCCCTTGCAGGCAGAGGGGGTGGGGCCCAACAGGGGAACAAAGTGATGAATGTTTAAAATCCTTCTCCTTCAGTATGATTGTCAGTATGATAGGAGGATTTTTTTAATTATTTTACTGTGTCGCCTGCAACGCAAGGCGAAATATAGGTATTATACTCTGTCGTCGTCGGTTGTGTCGTTCGAAACAAGGTTTCCATGCGATAACTTAAGTTTCCTTGGATTGATTAAACTCAAACTTGGTACACATATTTCATACCAATATAGCTCGGAAAGGTTCGCATTTCAGAAGTTTACATGTTTTTTTGTGGAGTTATGCCCCTTTTATTGCCAAATAAGGGCTTTGTGTAGTAAATGCAAGAACTTTTTTTATTTTTTAATCAATTCCTTTCAAATTTTGTACGGTAATGCTAGAAGCAATAATGTTCAACATATATTACGGGGTTTTCTGGGGGGCCATAATATGACAATATCCATAATATAATGTTATAATTAATTGCTTTAAAAACAAAAGGAAATATTTACCCATTTCGCATCAGTTTTCTCATTCCTACTGTTTCACCATTGATACTTTACGATGTTATTTTATTTTTCACCAAACTGTATTTATATTTGCAGCATCTTCATATACACATTTTCCTCAAAAATATCAGATTAGATCACGGCAATTATAATACAACATTGCGTTTAATAATGTTTCAATGCAAAACATAAACATACCTTGTATGAATAAAATCACAATTTCATCCATATTATCTCATCATTATTATCTTTCGACCAACGAGTTTTCGGGTGGGGGTTATACAAATTTGATTCATTTGTCTCACCGATATAGTATTGTGTAGTAGTGGTTACACGATTGTTTAGTAGTAAAAACACAGTATTGTGTAGTAGTGGTTACAGGATTGTGTAATAGTGGGTACCGTATTGTGTAGTAGTGCATGCAGTATTATGTAGTAGTGGATACAGTATTGTGTAGTAGTGGGTACAGTATTGTGTAGTTGTGGTTACAGTATTGTGTAGTAGTAGGTAGAGTATTGCTAAGTAGTGTGTATATTATTGTGTAGTAGTGGGTACAATATTGTGAAATAGTGGGTTCAGTATTTTTAAGTAGTGGGTACAGTATTGTGTGTTATGGGTACAGTGTTGTGAAGTAGTTGATACAGTATTGTGTAGTAGTGGTTACAGGATTGTGTAGTAGTGGGTGCCGTATCCTGTAGTAGTGGATGCGTTATTATGTAGTAGTGGATACAGTAGTGTTGTAGTGGTAACATGATTGTGTAGTAGTGAGTACAGTATTGCTAAGTAGTGTGTAGATTATTGTGTAGTAGTGGGTACAGTATTGTGTAGTAGTGGGTACAGTATTGTGTAGTAGTGGGTACAGTAGTGTGTAGTAGTGGGTACAGTATTGTGTAGTAGTGGGTACAGTATTGTTTAGTAGTTGGTACAGTATTGTGTAATAGTGAGTAAAGTATTATGTAGTAGTTGGTACTGTATTGTGTAATAGTGAGTACAGTATTGTGTAGTAGTGGGTACAGTAGTGGGTAGTAGTGGGTACAGTATTGTGTAGGAGTGGGGACAGTATTGTGTAGAAGTGGGTACAGTTTTGTGTAGTAGTGGGTACAGTATTGTGTAGATATCGGGGGACGCCGGATCATTAAATAGTACAGTATTGTGTAATAGTAAGTACAGTATTGTGTAGGAGTGGGGACAGTATTGTTTAGTAGTTGGTACAGGATTGTGTAATAGTGAGTACGGTATTGTTTAGTAGTGGGTACAGTATTGGGTAGTAGTGGGGACAGTATTGTTTAGTAGTGGGTACAGTATTGGGTAGTAGTGGGTACAGTATTGTGTAGTAGTGGGTACAGTATTGTTTAGTAGAGGGAAATGTATTGTGTAGTAGTTGGTACAGTATTGTGTAATAGTGAGTACAGTATTGTGTAGTAGTGGGTACAGTATTGTGTAGGAGTGGGGACAGTAGTGTGTAGTAGTGGGTACAGTATTGGGTAGTAGTGGGGACAGTATTGTTTAGTAGTGGGTACAGTATTGTATAGTAGTGGGTACAGTATTGTATAGTAGTGGGTACAGTATTTAGGGGTAATGGGGACAGTATTGTGTAGAAGTGGGAACAGTATTGTGTAGAAGTGGGTATATTATTGTGTAGTATAAGGGTATAGTATTGTGAAGTATTGGGTATAATAGTGTGTAGTAGTGGGTAAAGTATTGTGTAGTAATGGGTACAGTATTGTTTAGTAGTGGGTACAGTATTGTGTAGTAGTAGTTACAGTATTATGTAGTAAGTATTGTGTAGTAGTGGGTACAGTATTGTGTAGTAGTAGTTACAGTATTATGTAGTAAGTATTGTGTAGTAGTGGGTACAGTATTGTGCAGTAGTGGGTACAGTTTTGTGTAGTAGTGGGTACAGTATTGTATAGTAGTGGGTACAGTATTGTGTACTAGTGGGTACTGCATTGTGTAGTAATGGGTACAATATTGTGTAATAGTGGGTACAGTATTAAGTAGTAATGGGTACAATATTGTGCTTTAGTTGGTACAATATTGTGCAGTAGTGGGTACAATATTGTGTAGTAGGGAGTACAGTATTGTTTAGTAGTTGGTACAGTATTGTGCAGTAGTGGGTATAGTATTGTAGTATTGTGTAGGATTGGGTACAGTATTGTGCAGTATTGGGTAGATTAGTGTGTAGTAGTGGGAACAGTAATGTGTAGTAGTGGTTACAGGATTGTGTAGTAGTGGGTACAGTATTGTGTGGTAGTGGATGCAGTATTAGAAAGTAGGGGATACAGTACAGTATTGTGTGTTATGGGTACAGTGTTGTGAAGTAGTTGGTACAGTATTGTGTAGGAGTGGTTACAGGATTGTGTAGTAGTGGGGACAGTATTGTGTAGTTAGTAGTGGTTACAGGATTGTGTAGTAGTGGGGACAGTATTGTGTAGTAGTGGATGCAGTATTAGAAAGTAGGGGATACAGTATTATGTAGTAGTAGTTACAGGATTGTGTAGTAGTGGGTACAGTATTGTGTAGTAGTGGATGCAGTATTAGAAAGTAGGGGATACAGTATTGTGTAGTAGTGGTTACAGGATTGTGTAGTAGTGGGTACAGTATTGTGTAGTAGTGGATGCAGTATTAGA